GAAGACCTCTAGCAGCAGAGACCTCTAATAACGAAGACCTCTAGTCGCCGATGAGCTCTAGCTCCTCTTGTCCAGTCGATACGAGATGACCTCTAGCAAGTCGAGATGAGTGACCTGTAGCAGGTCGAGATGACGTCTAGCAGGTCGAGGTGAGTGACCTCTAGCAGGTCAAGATGACCTCTACTTATCTCCTTAGAGCAGCTCGACTTTCTCATACTTAGTCACAAAGAGAACCTCTACTTCCCCATACTTAGTCGTGGGGACATTCTCATACTTAGTCACAGAGAGCACCTCTACTTCCCCATACTTAGTCGTGGGGAGCTTCTCATACTTAATCATAGAGGGCACCTCTACTTCCCCATACTTAGTCGTGGGGAGCTTCTCATACTTAGTTACCGAGACCTTCAAGTCTCGTATAGACCTCCTGAGGTCGATCTTCCTCGATTTTGCTTGGACCTCTTCATACTTGACTCTGGTTCACAAATATGGCTATATCAAATACACATCTAAAATTTCAATTTTATGTACATAACGAAACTTAAATAAAAAAATATTTTGACATTAAAAAATATACGATATATAATATTATAAAAATGTGTGTGTTGTTCAATAAAATATCGAGTCAATGTACCTAATCGTTTGATCATTTGTCTGAAAATATGAAGTAAGGACATATCGAGTCGACATACCCAGTTATAATACCACTTGTGTTCCAGTAAGACTGTTAGTAAAACTAGTGGTAGATAGATCTAACGGTTAGACCAATATATCATTTCATATGATGTATATATATATATTCTCTCTAAAATATAATATTCATATATATATATATAAACAAACAATGACACTTCATAATATAAACATTCATTTTGTTCTTACGAAGCTATGAAGAGTCGACCCACTTAACAGTTAGAATGCTTCACACAAGAATTTATGTTTGCGTCTTGTGGCGGCCATCGTGGCGGCGAAAAGGACAATCGAGTCGGCGAATACGGCGACAATGGAATGGCGAGGCAGCAAGCGTCTAGGCTTTGCTTAAGTCGGCCAGTCTGGCAGTTCAATGGTTGCAATTTTTGGGGGCTTAATTTTGAAAATTATGTAAACTCAAGGGTTTGATTGTAATTTTAGATACTTTTATCATATTTCAATTTAGCCCATGGCTAAATCTGTATTTGATTAACCAACGAATAAATCGATTATTTCGGTTTAAATTTAATTTGAATTGCAAATAATGCACTGTGTTGATATCCAATTTAGCTCCGATTAATTAAATAGTAAATAAAACAATAAAATACGACCGATAACCAAGGAGCCGACAATACACAATAAATAAATATATAAACAGGTTTTCAAGACGAATCGCCTAAAAAGCTGACTACATCCCCACGAGTCTTTGCCCTCTGCCGAGCTGCACGGAATCCCGAGTACTCAGATAATACAAATACCATGATTGCCGATAAAGTAGACGTCAATCGAAGCCGTCAAAAGACACAAGTGGGCCCCCTCGATTGTGATTTCACATTGAGTGATAATGTATTATTTTTACCTTTTTAATTAATGTATATATATATATATATACACACACACACATATAAGTAGAAAGAGGAGAGGGGGACTTCTCCTCATTTTTCTTTTTGGACAATGCTACTTGTACCAAGTGGTTTACCACTTGGTTTACACATCCCTTGTACAAGTACCCTTAATGCACAATTTAATCATTGGTACTTGTACAAGGGATGTGTATACCAAGTGGTAAACCACTTGGTACAAGTAGCATTATTCTTTCTTTTTATCTCCTTCCCAAAAGCAAAAGAGAGCATTTTTCTCTTCAAAATAAGAAATAAAAACACCATTTTTAATAGCTTTGTTCTTCAAATTCCTACAAGATATTCAACTTATAATCGACCGTTGATCGTCCGATTTTTTACATCAACACACTGCAGAATGCACAATTATTAAACAAGATGCACATTAATAGACGACAGACTGCAAAATGTGTTAGACCAAACACATTAATGCAATCGAGAATGCACATTAGCTTGATAGTGTGCACACTAGTATTAATTAAAATGCACATTATTAAAATTTCCAAAAATTTAAATGTGCGTAAAAAATACTCGCTCAATAGACTGCACAATAATGTTATACTATATGCACATTGTGTTTGTGTGCTTGCACTTTAGCGCCTTCGTAACATTTTTTATTATAATTTTGTTTATTATTTTTTTTCAACCAAAAATAATAAATAAAATTATCAATCTGCTAAATATAATTTTAATATAAATGACAAATTATTTCAACTATTTATGATAATTCGGTTAACCGACCGAATAAACAAGTGATTCTGTTTGGTTTCATTCGTTTTGGGGCAAAAGTTCGGTCGGGTCAATCTGCAAATTACTGACAAACACTATGCACCATAGTGTTAGATGAATTACGTATTGATAACTTTCACAGTGCACATTATATATTTTTTACATATGTATTAGTTTTTTAATAAAAAATAATATAAAATATAAAAAAAATTTATTAACATACTAAACATGTATTTTTATAAATACAAATAATAATATATTTAGGTATTTTAGGTTTTTAGGTTTACCGTTGTGTCGGTTCGTTTTAAATTTGTCTTGGGACAAAAGTTTCGGTATGTTCATATTATCAAAAGTTCGACACGATTAGATCAATTTTGGCATTTCAATCGGTCGGTTCGACGGAACCAACCGATAAATAACGAAAACGATGTAGCATTTTGATAAGCTTGTGAACTTTTAAATGTATAGGCGTCATCAAATATATGATTTCTTAAAATATTGCATTGTTTTTAATGTGCAAGTTCTCACAAAATAATGTGCAATTTATGTATCATTATTGTACATGTTTTTAAACTTTTATCATATTACAAATTGTGAGATTGTTCTCACGTACTAAATTAAAATATCTTAAAATTTTGGAAATTACAATAAAGTCCCTAAAATATATCGAAATTTCACAAAAGAAAAAACCCATAATCCCAAAAGATGAAGAACCGGCCAAATTATTCCACTTAAATGCAAATAAATTAAAAGTTAACAAAATTGCATATAAGACCCCTGAAAACATTTTTTAGCTGTTGGATCATCCGAAAAATTTATATGCATGTTCATACACATAATGTTCAATTTATTTATCCGTATTCTACACTTATTATATTTTTAATAAAAATATATTTAACCCATTAATAATATTGCATTATATAAAAAGTTCAAAATTATAAACTTGTCCCTATAGTTTACCTAATTTTCACTCAAACACTCGTAGCCCTAAATTTATTCACCCGCATCACAGTCACCTACCACGCCACCGCCATCAGCCCCAAATCGACTCTTCCCTTGTCGTTGACGCTCAATTCCGCAAACCGACCGTGTATGTCGAAGTGGAACTGAAAATCGAAGTCGTCCACAAATGGTCGAACGGTGGATCGGGGCCACCGGAGTTGTCCACGCAAGCCGCTCAAGTTCACACAACGGGTTTAAGGAGACGTGACGACATCACGCAAACCATTTGACGGAGGAGCCGGAGGCCGACAGTGGAGAATTGCAAATGGTGGTTGTGGACATGATGTGGTTGTGGTTGTGACTGTCTGTTCGCAATGGTGGCAGAGCTGGTGGGGGTTGGAGGCGGTTGCAGACTATAGCAACGGCGAGGCGATTATCACTGCGATGGCAACGGGACTTGTGGGGATATAGGCAACGGCGGTTTGGTGGCGGCAGGAGAAATCCAATGGCAGCATGTGGTGGTGCTGACTGTGTCTGTGTGTGTGTGTGTGAGAGAGAGAGAGAGAGAGAGAGAGAGAGAGAGAGAGAGAGAGAGAGAGAGAGAGAGAGAGAGAGAGCCCAAGTTAGATGGGCCCTATTGTATAGGTGGATGTATTGTACTTTTGTGTAATGTATGTTTTACACTCATTTGACTACGATTTGTACATTTAATTACAATAATATCATCGCATATTTAACTGGTATTAATAAAATCATTACCATCATTTTGATAGTTTCAATGGTACAGTTTTGTTCCTATTCATTTCATTATGTACCATTCTCATATAGTATCATTTCTATATAATTTTAATAATAAATGTATTGATGAAATACTAGTTTTCATTTCTCTCAAAATTCGATCAACTTTTTTGTAAAAGATTATGATTACATCATTAGAAGAGTAGATAACTTCAAACGAAAATCATAATCTACTGCAACTATTATTCCGCCCTTCCCACTTCTCATATAAAGTAGTGTTTTAAAAGTCGCTAGGCGCCCGTTAGGCCCTCGACTAGCGCCTAGCGCCTAGAGCACCTAGGTAGGGCCTAGGTGGCGGCTAGTTGGGGCTATAAATCAATATTAAATACTTTATTTTTTATTTATTTTAACTACCTACAAAATAAAATTATCTCAACTTATAATAAATGAACACATTTAACTGCAAATAATAAAATTAACATATTTTAAAGAAAACATGAGAATAAAATAATGTAACTAATACTTAAAAAAAATAAAAATAAAAAAACTGAAAAA